AGAGTGGATAGCTATAGCAACTTGCATCATTTACATGCAACCTTGTAGGTCAAGGAAGTTAATTGGACCTGATACTTCAGCTTACACGCCACAATAGCAAATAGGAGCAGTTCTACCGGAATCGTTTCAAGCCTTGTTGTGATTTCCTAGAAATCATCGATCCCTTTTCGATTTGTCGTTGGTATAAAAGTGTCCGATGGACGAGACAAATTGCGAATCGACCGAAGATATCTATCTAGGTAGGAATCGTAAGTGTTCCATTGTCCCGGAGGACATTCGACAAAGCAATAATACATTTCAATGCATATTTGACACTTTGATGATTTTGATGTTCAATCGAGATTTGACACATGATGTAGGCTTACGATTTTCTTCATGTCGAACTAGCAAGGATAGTAGTCTCCGGCAATACTTGCACTCACCAGCCACATTTCATGATTAGCTGCACGTGAAAAGATGAAGCCAGAAAAACCAACTTGTCGTCCAGTCGTTCCAGTCTTATTTTAGTGCAACGCCAATCGTCTAATTGTTTCACATGGACGGACAATAAGATCGGAGATATTTGCTCTGAAGTTTTTCGAATGCTATTTGATAATCCGGTACCGTGCTGGAAGCGACAAAGTTTTTGAAATGCAAGTCGTCCGAAGAGATTTTCTATGCACAAAGGATTCTTGCATTTGAGTGACATGATACAAAGCGTTAAAGGTCTCATGTTCACGTTCTGGGCGTTGTGCAGTGCTACAACCTACAAACAGAGGGAATAAGTTGGCAATACGAAGAAGCAATTAGCCATGGTTCCCAAGATGAAAGTAGAAAAGTTGGAAATTCGACAGGGTCTAGCGGTATCAATTTTCCAATCCGGATATGTGCCAACTAATTTGCTTCATTTTACCTAAGTTGCTTATGTTGGTAGGGAACACAATCTGCAAGCCATAAAATCACGAGATACTAAGAATCTAACGCCGAGGGCGGGGAGAAAAAAAGAAAAGTTAAGCGATTCCTTCATTGTGTTGAAATGGACAAGGTGCGCAGAAGCTTCTAATTACATCCCGTTTTTGAAATTGCGTGGAAAAAGTGATGATTCGTGATAGTTTCCAACTAAAGATGGACGGCAAAGCAATTCCGTAAATTTGATACTAAAAAATTGAGATTGCTTTCAAATTTGCTGCCAAGATTCTTTGAGACATGACTCGAGTAGTTTTGACAGCAGCACTAATTTAGAGGGACTCGTGGAAACGAGGTGGGTGTGCCGTTAGGCTAGTGTCCGCTATTGTGATTACGATACAGGCTAGAAGATCACTGAAGGTTCGATTGGATTGGGGCTTATGGAGCGCTATCTGATAACAATTCTCAATTCCTGTCGGATAATGTTATCAGGATTTCTGCAACATAGATTCTTGACGTAAATGCTCAATTTAACAACCTAAAAGTACAATTACCGTGGAAACTATTTGATTTTCATATTACATATAAATTACGGTAAATCAAATGTCAATAGAAGCGTCTGATAGAATTTCCATATCCAAGATTTTTGATCATTAAATCTAAAAGTACAATGCCATTCATTATCATCCAAATATCCCAAACCCCACCACACCCAAAGCACCGCAACCCGTATCATGAATAGATACAGTAACACCAAAGAAATATGTGAAAGACTCTCCATGCAACGCACGATACATCCAATTGCCTCTAGCAAAGATTCTCTCCAATCTATCCAGAACTAAGCAACACGACAGATGTTAGAATGGATATTTTTTTCGTTTAAGACCTGTTGAAAATAATCAGCTCGACCGAGCTCGTAAATTGTATTGAGAGGTACTTGTTCTCGACAATTACACTGAAGAAGTTTGAAGACTACATATGAAATGTGCATGGAAAAGGGTAAGGGGGAGTGTGATAGAACGTACAATAATGCCAATGTCAAATCACCATGAATCTTGGCTTTCAACTCAATCTCAATTTCGAGATTGACGTCTAATCTCAACTTCAAAGGTTGCTTTCCTTGATCTTTCGCTGCACCACCACCTTGTTGTTGTTGCTGTTGCATTTGCATCATTTGCATTTGCTGTTCGTGTTGTTGTTGCATCATTTGCATTTGTTGTTTATAATCGTTTCCACCATCTTGTTCGAGGAATTGAGGACGATCTCTCCTCTTACGACGGGGCTTGCGTGCAGGGGCTTCCTCCTCCTCCTCCTCCTCTTCTTCTGGCTCAGGCTCCTTGACCTTACGACGGCGATGCTTCTTCTTTTTCTTTTCCGGCTCAGGCTCAGGTTCAGGTTCGTTGTGAACGGCAGTATCCTCGCTCTCTTCTACTTCCTTTTCAGGCTCTTCGTCTTGAGCTTCTTCGCCGCCTTCATTCTCGTCAGCAGTGGCTTCGGCACCAGTTTCTGCTCCTTCATTGTCGTCTTCTACTGATGCCTGTGCCTTCTGCTCCGTACCTTCTTGTTCTTCCTCATCTTGTTCCTCTTCTCCATCCTCATTTTGTTCCTCATCTTGAGCCTCCTCTTCTTGCTCTACTTGCTCGTTTTCTTCGTTGTCTCTGTCAGGGGTGGCATCAGGAGTTGGCGCTCCCTTTTTACCACCAATGGGTGTACTCTCCTTTGGCGGCATATTGGCTTGTGGATTTATGAGATGTATTTAGGTGATGTAATGAAGAATTTAGAAGATGAGGAAAACCCGTATACGCGAGGAGAAGGGTATATAGCTAAGAGTCAACAATATAAACTCAAGAAATTCTTTCAAAATTAGATATGGGGAGGAATCTCATTTGGCACCGTTGTAGTTTTGTCTTATATGAAAGCCAAAAAATGTAAACTTGGAAATTCATGCCAAATTCTATGGAGCAAGCTTTCAAACAACTCAACTATGACATAACCGCTGCCTTCATTTTTATCCTTGTAAGAGGTGTAAAATACAGGGGGTTATTATGTTTTTGGACATAATGGAGGCCAAGAATCCTGGATTAGATGATTTATCACAAGGATTTTGGTGATAAATGTGGACTTTGACAAACCAACGTGTGCATGTGGGTCATGGAAAGCTACAGGGCTGCTACTTGTACCAAAAAGGTCGAGTCCATCCGTCCACCAATTCGAATCTCCGAGTCTAGAGGCGCACATTTCTCATAAATCAAGGCTAAATGGTACTCGAACAAGAATCATGGTAAATAATACAATGTTTCCTGTTGTCTCCTAAAGTTTTTGGGGTCTTTTGAGTATGAAAACTGATACATTATCAGTACCTGTACAGCCTATACATGAAGTAAGCCACTAACCACTAATACCTTGTTCTTCAAAATGTCAAAAAGCTACCTCCACGGGGCTAGCACAAGTAATACTTTCGGGTTTCATGATTTCATCCGCATGATATCATTTTCAATTGAAATGGTGAGGGGCTAATTCAGCATTAGACATGGGATTTGAAGAGATAAGTTGTGGCTGGTGAACAACTAAATCGACATCTTCCGTCCCCACAGCACCTTTCTAACACTGAATTCAATTAATTATACACTGTTCCAGTATCCACTTCCACTTCCAAGACATACCATACATACAATACTACGATAATACAATTTTACGATAACGTTCAACCTTGAGGACAACAAGTCAGATGAGAATCACGAGATGGCATTATTTTTGATGTTGGTAAATGCTATACCGACAGTAATCGGTACCGCTGAAGCATTAGATGTTCAGAAGAAGGAGGATTTGGCTCAGAAGCACAAGGCAAAGTTTTTTATGACAGCGAATTTTGCTCTGGATGGCAAGGCTGCTCATGAAAAAGAAGCACAAGTTGTTCTGCGCGATAACAGGGTATGTTACCACGAGTTTCTATGGGCTTACATCAATACCATTTTGAATATTGAAGAAAATACTGATTTTGAACGATCTGCAGATGTATTTGAACCACCCAGATGCGCCGAAAGAAGGACATCGATTTTGTGGTTACTATTTCATGTATCCAGGCACCGAAGAACATGGCTTGGTATCGACGATTCAAGATAATCCTCCGATGCTAAATTGGATATATGTCGACTCGAATACTTTAGAGGTGCGATATGGTGGGCGAGCAGATACGGTGGGCAACTTAGCACATCCATGGGAATGGTCAGAGGATGAAGTAAATTTAACGCTGGAAGAAGATGAAGGATTTGTTGCAGTGGAAGTCGAGCCTGGATTATGGCAAATATATTTTGATAGAAATGGGGATTTCTCTGGTCTTCCCACTGGGAAGAAAATCCAGGAGGTTTGTTTGCTTCGGCGGATGATGTGTGGATGGAATAGTCAGCTAGTACCAGCCGACAGGAAAAAGGAGGGTGGTTAATAATTTCACCATTGGAAAATAACATAACACAAAATGAAAATCTCATGATACCCATCGGAAGTCTTCCCATTCACACTGCACTGTCCAGCCTAGACCAAGATACTCATGTTACAAACACGCACGAGACTCGACAAATTCGAACTCTTGAAGGATTAGTCCTGTACAACAATTCAAAAATAATCAATTTACATGCAATATGACGAAATCCTGCCTCTTTCAATCGAACATGGGGAAAAATCGCGCGAGGTAATGCCTGTAAATGCTTGTATCTGACCCACTAGGATCAATATATTCTTCCCAGCCACAGAACAACTGTTTCGCAATTTGCCAACTTTGACACTGCATGGTTGGTGAAAACTTGCCAAAGAAGGACCTGGAGAAATTAGCTACAAGCTATTACCCCGAAAAACAAGAAAACGGCTTTGGCCGGCAAGGGGTCTGCATCAAATGGGATGATGACGTGGAATCAGCGCAAGCAGGTTCGATTCTCGAGAAATCCACTCAGTCTTTCTTTTAAAGAACACAGGTTCGAGTCAATCATATCCTCTTTCTCCTCATTCACACAAACATCTTTCCATTTTCTTCATATCCCTTTAGGATAATCCAACCCCCGTTTTTTTATTTTCATCACCCTTTCATACGGAGGTCTCTCTCGCAGAGCTCTACTTCGACAATGGCTAGTCAAGCCAAGCCAAAGGCTGCTGCCACCAAGACTGCCACAAAAGGAAAGAAGGCTCCCCTCAAAAAGAGACAACCAGAGCCTGAATCCGAATCGGAAACCGATTCCGATGATTATACGTCCGACGAAGAATCAGAAGAAGAAGCACCACCCCCACGTCGACCGGCAAAGCAAAAGCAAAAGCAACAAGGTGGTGGAGGCGGAGGCGGAGCACTCGGTGGTGTCGGTGACATGGTTCCTTTGAATCAAGTTGGTGACACCGTCGGAGGGGCCGCCGGCCAAGTTGGAAACACACTTGGTAACGTTGCTGGCGGTGTCTTGGGTGGTGGTGGTGAAAAGAAGGGAGACGACAAAGAAGATACACTTAGATTACGGTTGGATTTGAATCTCGAGGTAGAGATTACGCTGAAAGCGAAGATCCATGGTGATCTTGAATTGGCACTATTGTAAGTTCACACCACCTTTATTATTTCCTCAACCCCTCCTGTTCTGACGTTAGTACAAGGGATACTGGTGGATAAACATCTCTTACATGAGTATTTGTTGCAGAAACGGTTAATAATGTCGTCCGTCCCCATTGCAGCTTGATGTAGTCGCAGCTTACTGTATGATTCGACCTTTCGTTATCTTCGAACGTTTTATCTTTTCATCCTCTGAAAAGTCTTCCATGAGGACGCAACTCGGTTAGAAACTGCTGCTAACAAGTTCTTCGTAGGAACTAATTGGCTTTTCGATATTTTGTTGCTGGGAATAGGATCTTTGGATTCTTCGGAGTGGGACATGGGAGGTTAGGACCGGATTCTGATGTTTCGAAGGAGTTTTTGAGTGCATGGAGAATGGGAGATTGGGAGATTGGGATCGGGTTTTGACATGTTCCACACGTATTATATACCCATTATCTAAAGTGGGAAATTTAATGCCTGAATGACTTTTCCAAACTTGCTTGAATTTATATGAAGTGACCATGTGTGATGATGTAGTTTTTGGGATTCTATGACTGTGTGACGTCGTTGGTGCTATTCCTTCGCGATTTCAGGGGGAGAACCGGAGTGAATCAACCGGAGGATTGATTACAAGAGGGTTAATGATGCTCCGTGAATTAGATTGGAACGATCCTTGCTGTAAACGACTATTGAGAAGTAGATAACAAGATCGGACTCGAGAATTCTAGCATCGCCGTCGTCAAATTGCCAGGTTTTCGAGCAAACGAATACTGCATGATTGTTTGAACAATGGATAAGATGAAATTTATAATTGTATCTGTGGACAGGATTTCTCACTTTTCCTAGGCAAAGAACTCTACTTCCAAAGGAGAACATCTATCAAGTAGACTGGAAATATACAATCTTACCAAGATTGTCGCGCATACAATCGGGACTCTCGTACTGGAGGCTATCTCGTCCAACGTCATGGGAATTCCACACTATGATTCTAGCATACTCGCTAAACTCCATAAACGAGGCCACACATGTTCCAATGTTGTATTTAGCTTGCAAAAAACAAGCTAAAATTAGATGTCATGTAGGTTTTCTGCAGACAAAAGAGTGAAAAGTAGTGAAGTGGTGATGCACGTAATTTAGGGTAATATATCACCATAACTTCAACTCAACCATTCATTCGACCATATAGAGGTCCGTAACTATAGATGTTGTTCCTTGCGACATCTAGTAGTCCCGGCAAAAAGGTCCACAAATGAAATCAAGTTCAGCATTACAAAGTCTTTCGACGACTCATTGAGATAATGGAATTCGACTCTACCTAAAAAAAGTCCAAATTTTTGACCGTTCTACCTCCAGATAATTGTAGTCATCACTTATCTTACACTTCCACAATATGAAGTAATTCTGATCTGAGTCTCTTTTGTGCTATGAAAAGGGACTTACTGGGTTCTTCCTTGAGTTGTTCGGCTTTGAGTACCTAGTCAGAGAAGGCCATGTGTAGATCCTCTAGCGAGAAAGATATTCATGTAGACCAAATGTAATCGTTACTTTGAATTGGAAGATTGTTGGTTCACGTTCTGTTTGCGCGTATCTCTTCCTGCAATGATCTCTCTTACTTATATGTCATGCGGCTTTAGCAAAGCTTACTTTATATTTAATTACTTGAAGGGTGTATTGCAGGAGATATATCTCTAGCTTAGCTCAGCTAACGCTGCGTATTGCGAATACTTTCATCTATGATCTCGCTCTGCTTTCTTGTGCAAGCAATTTACATTATTTCTGGTAAAGGAGACAATTTATTCTTCTAAACCTCTCCGCGGAGGTTTCAAGCCATTTCCTCCTGTCTGCCAATGCTCAATGCAAGGTTGTGGCTCAAAATTTGCTGGTTCTTTCAGTGGCATTCTCCTCTCTCTATGCAGTACTTCACCGATAGAAGGTCAAGATTTCGTCACAAAATATGCACCGAAATCTTAATACTCGAGATTCTACAAGTACCTGTCGGGGAGCACACATTCCCGGATTGCTATTGGCCAACGGGTTTGCTAACCAGCCCCTAATCCTTCACTTCGGCTGTCACTGGCAGCGGTATAATGTCTCAGAGAAGTATTTGGTGAAAAGCCCATGATTTTTAATAGAAGATGTGAAATCTAGTTACAAATAAAATGCCGTGAATAAATGAATGTCGTCAAAACCCACCGAACATTACCGTTAACTTCGACTATGCTTCCCCAAAAAGAAAAACGAAAAACGAAACCAAATATTCCCGAGACAATCCCTAAGCCATGTTTCGAACTCCGAGACCTAAGCAAAAGAACCCGCGGCCGTAATAATTGCCGTCGCATCATCCCATAGATACTTCACAGTCTCTACGAGTTCACAAACAGCCGGTAACCAAAACATTATGCTTCCGATGTCTCCATCACCGAATAAGGTTGTCGGTTCCGACACATCTTTCCTGGTTAATCACCCCAAGTATCTTTTGGCAATTACCATCGCTGAACGCAATAGTATGTTGGAGCGGCTCAGTGTCAGTATAAAGACTAAGAGCTCTGAGATCGACTGCAATCTAATTGCATGTTGCGGTGCCGAGCCATTTGTAGTATTTGTCCTCGTTTCTAAGGAGACATATTAGGAGAGACTGGAACAGAGAAGTTGTCTTTTTTTGACTTCAATTGGAGAGACTTACGCGCAGGCACTAGTGGTGTACAAACTGACGTGATTTGCGTTGCGGGTTACAATGTCGCTAGAACTACCGTTAAGGCTCGGCATAGCAGTAGCATGGCTGAAGGCGATGAAGGAAAGCATCGTAGAGAGAGTGGAGTAATGCGTTTTATTGCGTATAAGATGATTTTCCAAAGGTATTAAGCAATGATTTGGTCGAGATATCAGCTTTAGGTATTGTTCTGTAGAAGTAGTAGATGATGGCGAATGGATATCTTGGAAATATTGAGCTTTAGCTCTCCTTATATACTTCGTTGGTATGAGGACCCCAAGCATCAGGATACTCCTCCGATGAACTTCGCCAACACTTGCGTTCCAAGCACCAAGTGTCAGATTAATTGAGGTAATTACTGTGTCTTTTTTTTTTCATAAAGCAGCAGAATCAATCCAGCAAGTTGGAGTTACAGACAGAGACAATGTTGGCGCTACTGGCAACTAAAGGAAACATTTTACGAATCCCTCAGAGGCCCAGTCAGCATTACATGGAGTAGGAATTATTTGTGACGATCTATTGGGGGATTTATCTTGAATCCGCTGATCAAAGTCTTCGCCGCGATAGTGTCTCATTTTGAAATTAGTGGATCTGGAGCACAGAAAACTGAAGGAACCCCCTCCCGCCAACAAACGTGCTACCAACACCATGCTTAGACATCATGTGACTTCCATATTCCTACGTCTGACGATCACTCTTGTAATGACATTGCCATAATATAAAAAAATTCTGGCTCGACTGTCGAAACGAATTTAGCCCGATTGAGGGCATATCCCAGGATTCATTTAAATAAAAATTCAAAAGGAGCAGAGAGTAGGTGGTCTAAAAATACATCATGAAAGACTCTCAGGAATTCTATGATAGAGGGACAGGAGTTCAATATTGTGGAGCTACAAGGCTGGAGAAAAACAAGAGATTGTGTCCAAATGAAGGTGGTAGTCAAGGGGAGCGATCATCATACGCCGATTAGTATGGAAATCTATCTGTTATATGTGTTCCCTTAAAGAAAGTTGAAAGTAATCACCCTGCCTTATGTTCAGTAGCAAGATAAAATTAAATAGTCATCTCTCTGTTGGTGATATAATCATTGGATGGGCATGAATTAATCAGGTATATATTATAGAAAAGCCTGCCTTCGTCACCATGCAAGGCGATTTTGCGCAAATCTAGTCAACAGAGGAAAACATAATACAGATTCAAAGGAATCCACGTTCAAAATTCCTATTCCATGCTCTACTAGAACCCCTGTGATGTAATCCTGAAAAGTTATAGACCAAGCGGGAGTATTCCAATATCTCGCCTTCAAGCCTTTCTCGTTTGCAGCAGTAATCTGAGAACGAATTCTATGCAACTGTGCTGAACTAAATCTCCAGAGCAACTGAGTTCCCAGAGCTTTGGTGATTGAGGTACTAGCATAGTAGGAGTTCGTGATATTGTATACAGGATTTGAGATATCGCGGTAGGTGGTATTAGCTTTGAGGACATCGAAAGAGGCATTGCCGCTCGCTACGATGATGATTGGTGCCCAGTGTATCCCAGATGAACTGTCCCAGTATGTGAGCCAATCTTTGATGCGAAGACTCTCGAGTTGCTGAATCACATGAGGCCAGAGCTCGATACCGTCGGACTTGAAGTCTAGAAGTAAAGTCAAGGTAGTACTTGGGCTGGATTGAAAAACACCATTCCAGTCCTTCACCGTGTCATTCGAGACGGTAATCCGCTCGTTTATGTTCTCAAGAATCTCGAGAAGTGGCCCGATGTATAGACTCTGTAGGGTCCTTTCTTGGGTGAGTGAGTTTGTGTTATGCCCTACTAGCAGATCTCGGCTTTCGGCTTGCGTAGAAAGATGGATGTCAGCTTCGATGCTGGTACAACCAGCCGCGAGAGCTTCAAAGAGAGGGACAGCACGCATATAGTCGTTGTGTGAATGACAGGGAATTGGGATGACTCCCTGGGTAAAGTTTGGGTCCCACGGCGATAGCAAATTCAACGAATCTTTGGGTGCGGTCCAATCATTAATTATAGTGCTAGCTCTATTCAGGAGAAATCTGGGGGTTGTGCGTCTTACCAGTGTGAGAGCCAAGGATAACCAAATTCTACAATCATTACACTTAGTTCTTGAATTTGAAGTACCAGATATTTGGACAGGTGTGGTAAGACTTGCAGGACGGGCAAAATACCAACAACAAACAGAAAAGCAGAGATGAAGAGCCATTTACTATGAATTATTATGTTCCCAAGGTGGGTCTGCATACACACTTTTTGCCTAGCGTTACGTTTAGATTGAATAGTACTGCAGCTTGTATCACTGCCATATTCAAAAGTGCTCACAGTGGAAGCAGAGGAAATTTATGATTGGTGATCTTCCGTGGAATCTGAAGATGTTAGCTCTCGTACAATGATAAAAACTTGATAACTTTGCATACCGGACAGTGAATATGCCATGGCTACCCCGTTTGAACGAACAGTATAGTATGGGTCAGAATCTGGATTTGATGATGAGAATGATGTAAAAGAGCAGCAAAGCATTGATTCAGGGAATAGTCATGAATTTCTCGACGATGTAGATACTTGTGAGGTAAGAATAGTTGTGCAGCCATTTGACTCAGCCACCGTTTTATTTTTCCTTCAGACTGTCTACCGGAAAAAGTGCCTCGCTTAATCTCTTGAAACAAGAAACAAACATTTGGGTCTCTTTTCGATGAATCACCAACTTTGATGCTGACACCAACTTCGTTGTTACGTTGATGTTCGGACAGGCGTAAAGGGAAATATTTCTCTCTTAGGCTCCAATGCACAGGCATCGAGATCATCACTATCGGTGGCTAAACAAATGAAACTCAACAATTATCTCTTGTTGCAAGATGGGATCAATTAATGATTCTTCAGACGATCTTTTTCAAACTCTAATTGAGCTCGTGATAAATTATCCAACATATATGATCCTTCATTTACCGTGCCTCACCATCTCACAAACTCCTGATGATAGATCCAAAGATGTCGTCGACCATTGAACATATCAAGTTTGTTGACTTCAGAGACACATAACAACACACAAGAGTAAGGGCCAATTCAACATGTAAATAATGTTGGTAAAATATAGCTCGGTCTGGGATGGAAGGAGTCAAAGGAAGTCGAATTAGTGCTGCTTTACTTCGTTGAGTCAATAAACAAACTGAAAAGATCTTTAGATCCCTAGAGACAAATTTGTAACGAGAGGTAGGCAGTGGTAATGGGAATCAAGTCAATTGCAGCTTAAGCCATGAAATATTATATAAAGATCTCTCGTTGGCCCAAATTGTTTCCGTCAATCGCTACCACACAGCAAGAAGTCCATTGGAATCAAGCTGTCACCATCTCTTTACTCAGGATATATAATCAATTGACTCTCCGCTACTCTTTCAAATAAGATCTTGTGTTTATTCAAGTCATAAGTCATCTAACATGAAGTTCAAATACCTCTTTCTGGCCGCCATCCTAGTCACGCTCTCCCTCGGTAGAGTCATCTCGAACCCTCGGTAAGTTAATGTCATCTAAGATCATCATCTCTCTCATGTGCCCATACTAACGAGATCAAAATATGAAGTCATGATCAAGAGGAGAGTTTCTGTCGGGATATCGATCATGTGATCAAAGAGGGCACTGTATTAGCTAGCGTCGCGCTAGCGCTACCCTATATTAAGTACTAGCTTCCCATAGATAATAATGATCAAGAACGAATACAACCACATAGAACTAATAAGTACTTACACTTATATCAACCAAGTTGATACCAACAGTTTGCAACTGTCAAAAAGACTGGAAGATGTGGAAGTAGATATGAATACTGTAGGAACCGCTCAGGATGGCCAGAGAATCTGGACTCAAGGTCTCGATACATGTGTTGCTGTAATTGCAATTGGTACTCCCAGTACGACTGGAGGTATCGCGAAGGTCATGGCTCATATGAGTACTGGCAAAACAGAAGTTATGCAGGCTTGGTCTGCACAAGATCAGGCCTCTGGAATGACCGATATCGTTATTTATATGTCGCAGCCAGATCCCAGTCGCAATCTTGATCCTACGCCTAATCGCGTGCAGGAGATGGATATCTCGATTCACCAAGATTATAACACTGTTTACCGGCTTTTGGTTTCCACGGGGCCGATAATACACAACTTCAATACTTGGGTCAGAGAGCAAGCCCATACTCTCATGACAGCCGGGTTTGCCATGTATCAGCGCCTCAACAGGGACGCAGAGAGTTCAGCACCTGGTCTCGGCGAAATGGAGTCCAGGGCTACTGGCAATGTGATAGCCGATACACACGTCTTATAGCGTATGGATGGTCTGTTGTCTTGGCAAGGGAGAATTATCATCGGTAATTGTAACAAGAACTCAAAACAGGCCCACAATTTGATACCGGCAGTTCTTGTGATTGTGTCAACAGATAGCGGTGTGATGGATGGATGAGTATTTGTCGGCAGTAGGATGTAAGATTTGACCTTATCTGTTTTCATTGAGTAGTTCAGAATCAGGCTAAATTTTTGCATCGGATCATGTCTATTGAAGTAGTTGAAATTGTGGGGTCCGGGTACATTTTTTGCCCTGCTAATTAGTTTGACATTAAAAATAGTATAGTTGGAACGTTGGGACGAAACGAATAAGGCTTTTTAGGGTTTGAGCACATATTTTCATTAAATGGAGTCAAACTTTGTATTCCCTTCAATTGAAGCACTACTTTCGGAGTTCTTAAATTGTCCAATGAATCCGTTCACAAACCGTCCCTATATTGTAAGAGGATATTTGCAAAGAAAGTGCTGCAAAGAAGTCTAATAAACGACAGCATAGTCCATCGAATATAGTAGAAAGATAAACTGGATTGCCGATTCACCTTGTGTATATTAGACAGAAATAGGCTTCGCACGTGTCGCTTGAAAATAACTCTCATGATGACTGATGCGAAAGAGAACTGATCCAATGGTTCAGGCGTAAAACTTCCAAGACTATCTTTGCCTAGAACATGTATAGCTTTTGAGTCTATCACTTGATTTGGAGAGATATAGGCGCTTAGTTTGCCCAAAGTTTGGCGGATATTCAAAACGGGATCTACTGTCTTTTGAATTTACCATTCAATCAAGATTTAAGTACCTTTGATTCATAATTGCGCTTTATATCACATGGGCATTGACCGCGTTGTGATGAGTATTCATTTTCACGGCAGATATTCTCAAATTGTTATAGATCTATGCAGGTAGGGAAGAGAGATCGAACAACGCAAGCCCGGGGGTGATCGAAGATTTGGCACGCATCTTGTACGAATGATACGCTTCGGCGAAATTGTGATCATCCACTCGCCCAAACGCCTCCGCTGGAAACAACCACATGCCAATCGCCGTCATATCATCCCGGTCTACCATCACATTGCTCTCTCGAAACGATGATTCATCAAATTTGCTCTCGCTGAGTGGGTGCATCAAGTTGACCCAGTAATTGATGGCTCTCTCCCACTCGTCCTTTTCCATTTGTCGATTCGACTCAACCAATTGGCGTACATTGAGCTCTACCCTTGGAGGTTGGGTCATATGTCCCGTTATTCCCGCCGGAGCTAACTCGGAAAACACGCAAGCAAAGACACGAAAAGGTAGGGTATGTCTCACACCTAGGGCTTCCTCAATTGCCTTCCAACTGTGGTGATATCGGCGCGGATCCTTAAAAAATGGCATGTTACTGATGTCCGGCTCTATAGGTCTGGGGTCATTCTCGATCCACTCGAAGTTGAGATATGATATGCCCAACCTATCCAAGGGAGGCAGCATCGGTAAAGTCTCCATCCACTGGGGCATTCCAACTGGCCGATCGAGTATTCCTGGACCGTAGACCCGCGTTCGAGTGTACATTTTTTGAACACACCACAACGTCCGAAGTTTTGTGCTGAGGATGTCAGTGAGAGATGCTTGGGCGATGGGATGGCTTAAGGCAATCTTTCCTGCACCTCCAGCGCTCGTGATATCAATAAGCCTACTCGACCCACAGTTTCCAGCCTCTCCTGTAAAGGGCTGTTTGTCTGGAAACAAAGTATCTCCAAGTATAGCTAAGTGCTTGAGGCCTAGGTCTCTTGGATCGTATGCTTTGATATCATGGAGGATAGCAGCAAGCATGTTGATATCGCGGATATCATGACCAGGGTGGAAAAAGAGAACATCATGGTCAGGATTAACTCGGATGTGGCGGTGATTTGCGAGAGGTAGACGAAGACGAAAGTAGTCTAGCGCCACCCATCTAGACTCTTTGGAGGTCAAGAAGATTGTATTGTTCATCTGATTCGCGGCGGACTCATTGATTGCGAGTTCATAGTAGCCACCGCTCACGATATTGCCCATAGAATTGCGAGTAGTGTACATTTGAGACTGAATGTGCTAGATTTCAGTCTGATCAAGAGTCGTGAGATGGATGTGAATTGAGATGAAGCGGGGTCGTGGTTGAAGTGCCATTAGCCAAATACGTAGACGGATCTCTTTGGGAAGAATGGGAAATTGATAAAAAGACGTGATTCCAATGTGAGGTTCATTCTGCTTCGATGATACGAAGTGTAGATCGTTGACTAAAGTAGTCATTTTTGCCCTCCCCAAGTGGTTGGCTTCTTTGTTCAAACGTTTGTGGATGGTAGACCTACTTGTAGGGTAAAGTCCTGCTATTTGCGCCGCAAGATACAAGATTAATAATAGTTAGCATATATCATTGAGAAAGTCGGGATCAAGATATCTGTTTCCTCTTCTAGGCTGTGCTGAGGTGGCTTCATTGAATGTCCAACAGTTATTTTTGTTTCAGGATCAGTCAGCCAGTCAAGAGTGTTGACTTCCACGGGAACATTATGGGGCAATAAGCCCACATTATCTGTACCCTCAGAGAGGAGTAGTAGGCTGAAAGCACCGGGGCAAAAAGATAGAACAATCATTTTGAGTCAAATTGTCACATGATCTATGATATGGAAGAGATCACGTGATAATCTAAGGATTTATCCGGATTTGACCAGGGTTTCTGACTTCCTACGGTAGCCTGTTAATGTCATCATCACCAACCGCAATTTCTCCTTTTCTTGATGGTAGGTGGGAATTCTTTCGACTCATTTGTTCAGGAGACGGCGATTGCTTGAAGCCAGATTACCAACACCACCATATCACTTACCTAAATGATCATAAAATCCATAAAGACAGTATGAAGAGCTAGGCTGTTCAGCTGTTATGGGTCTGCAGATAATGCCAGAGGAAAATGAATCCTCGAAATGACAACTCACATTTCACGGGTAGCCACTAATTCATCCGCATAATTATAGATAGTTCGATTCCCATGGTAACGAGCTATGGACATGAACAAACACATTCAGCCCACTGCATCATCCAAGCCTAATCAAACTTGCAAACAGAACAAAATGCGCTTTCCTTTTCCCAAACCTTGTTCTCGAACCATAGCTGATCATGCTTCCACATCTTCATCGAAATCCGATCCCAAATCAACAGCAGTCTCCCCTCTCGCAACAGTTTCCTGAGTTAACTCGGTTTCTTGAGTTTCCCCATATTCACCTGATTCCTCATTCTCGATGTCATCTCCCTCATCGCTCGTACCTGCCTAAAAGAGGAATGTCAGTAGGTATAGTAAGAAATAGCCAGAGAAAGTGTACTCACATCCTTGATCGGAGACTTGGCTTTTGCTTTTCTACCTGGGAGACTTCGTGCTGGTGTCTCGGGGGCAATCTTGTTCTCCTTCTCCTCGTAGTTATCGAATCCTAGTTCGTCGTCGTCATCACTGTCAAGTTTCAAACGCTTTTGCTTCTTCAAGGGGCTGCCTTTGAGAGCTTTGCTTTTCGTCGGAGATTGTCTTTTTCTCGGTGTTGCTGGTGGCGAGGAGTTCGCACTCCTGTTTTGTTCTTGGTTGAAGTCAGGCAACGTCTTTTTGAATCGCTGCCATCGCATTTGTGCAGCTGACTTGGTGGGAACGCTGAGATCCTTTGCAACTCTGTCCCAATCGATGTGACTAATATTGGCCTGCCTAAGAATGGAAACTAATAACTTCTTTTCCGCGTCGCTAGACATGACTGATCTGAAGGTACAATAGTGTCGTGAAAATCTGTATCAATGGATGTATGGTGCGAAGGGACTGATGGACAATAAATAAGAACGGATCACTGGTAATTAAGTATTTATCACTCCGCAAACTTCATATAGTCTCAAAGAAGTAAATTCTTGAGCTGAATCGTTCTCCTACTTCAAAATCTCAAGGCAGATATCGCCATCAGTTGGAAACAATAAACACCCGCTTGGACACTGGTCTCCCCATCGACCTCCTCAATATTGCTTGACAATCTGAGCTATCATTTTCCTAAGCATAAAAAGTCCTAATCGGAGTCAGCCCCCTCCTCCTCATCTTTATCCTCATCCTTGACGATCTTTCTTTTCTTTGATGAAGCCTTCTTCCCTCCGTTTGTACTTTCTGCCGCATTCCCTGTCTTTTTGCCGTTTCCCGCCTTCTGTGTAACATTCATGCAGTTCTTCATTTCATCACTGACCTCGTTCTTGGCGGATTTTTCCGCAAGAAGACCATATTTCTGCTTGTATCGTATCCAACGTTTGCTTGCAGCTTTTGCTGGATGCATAGCTTTGATTTCAAGGTCCTTTGCTAGTTGTTCGTAATCTAAAATTATCTCGGCAAGCTTGATTTGTTTGAATACGGCTGCGATAAGTCGTTGGTCTTCGGCGGATTCGGTGGACATTGTGATGGATCTTGGATTCTTTTTTTGGACACGGGACTGCTGATCAAATACATTAGTCTTGTCATGAAAAGAGAAAGTAACCAACAAAGCGTTACTGACTGGATGTGACTTTGCGCTGGATTTTCGCAACTGCGGTGGTTGCTTGGGAGATGTGATATAAAGGTAGACATGCATTTATATAGATACACAAGACAATGACTAGATTTTGTCAGAAGGGTGCTGAGATAAGGGAATCATTTCATTGCTTATTATGTTTCTCCTTGTGCATTTGCATCCGAAACCAAAGAAATATGTGTGGCTGCAGAATCTCAAGCCTCTTCTCCTGACAACAACTCATCCAGCATGTTCCCACCATCCCCAGTCTCCAGCCATCGCATATCAAACTCGAACTGGCCATTTTCCTGCTCAATCGCACCCAGCTCTTCCAATGGCTTCTTGTCTTTGTTTGTCTTCCTGCCTTTGCCAGATCCCGGTTTCGAAGTAGACGCATTCAAAGAGATGCCGATCGACTTATCGATTTTCTTGCGTTGAGTAGGTGGCTCGTTCGGTCCCTCCGTCGCGGCTGCACGCTTCCGTCCTCCATTTTTGCCCCTCTTTTTGTCATCTAATACCGCAGCTGCCTGTCCAACATCCACATCATCAACATATGTTTTGTCTCCAGCTAAATTGCCAAGTGCTGCTTTTGTCTGTTCAACTTTTACATCATCACCGGCTTTGTTGTTCTCGCCGTGCTTGAGCAGTTTTGCTTTGTATCGATGCCAGCGCACAGCAGCAGTTCCGGGCTTGATTCCCAGAAGTGCGCCTAGTTTGCTGTTGTCGACAGGCGGAAGAGGATCCCAAAGACTGAGAACGGCAATGAGCAGTTTTTCGTCGTCGCTCTTCTCAGAGGGGTTGGCTTTTGGAGGCATGATTGTGCACCTTTCGTATATCTTGTGAAGTGATGACGGTGATTATTTGTTGGTTCTGTGTTATGACAATGGTGAAGATTGTTTGGAGATGTAAATTTGCGTAAAGTTGTGAAGATTGTATCAATAAAGTGCAAGCGAGTTCACAGTCAATAAATATTTATCGAATGTAAATCTGAGCTTCAGTTGATTCTTTATGCATACATGCGACTGCCTATTTAAAAACCCTACTACCGCATTCCGAGACCTAGTTTCATGTGGCTCTGAATCCCTGCAAAGATCTCAAGCCTCTCAAGCCTCGTCCGGCCAGCCCTTTTCATTGTATGGCCATCCAAAAACCCCTGACTCTGTGCTGTTAGTACCTTTCTCCGAAGCAATTGTGCTTTCGGCTGGGTCGCTTCGTGGATTATTTCTCTCTCCCTCCTGCTGTTGGACTATTTTAGCATCTACCTCCAGGCGCCCCTTATACCTCCACCAACGCATGGCTGCAGCTCCAGGGTTGATTTCGAGATCTGCACCAAGTAATTTGTAGTCGAGTCTAGGTAAGCGTTTTTCCTGATTGATAATGGCAGTAAGAAGTGCACCATCAGCGTTTGTTGTCCCTTCTCCAGTACGGAGCCTCGCTTTGAGTCGAAACAGACGCATACCTGCAGCTCCGCCATTGATACCGAGATCTTCCCCTAATTTATTTGTATCTATACGAGCAGATCGCCATTGCATGAAGACCGCGATAAGAAGCTTAATATCGTCGCTGCGTGTCATAGCGCCACTTGTTGCTGTGCTGCGGATGCGGGAATGGATGTTTAATGAATGGATGTGATAGATCTTCGTATGGTGTGGGTTGATAGCGGCTTAGGACTTTCTTGCATGGATTCATTCTCAAAGTCATTCAAATATTAAAGCAAAAGTCATTAGAGAGTCAATTTCATATGTTTCATTGATCAATTTGTCGGCCGATTATGTTGACTTCCCGAAGAATCCAGGCAGTTCCCAACTGTCTCAATGATAACCCTGAAACTCAAGTAGACTTCATTCTTTGAGAACCTGCATTATGTTTAAACCAAATCAGAGTCTTCAGGGTCATCAAATCCAGAACCTTCTCCGTTCATGACTTTCTCCTCTTTGATCTTCTTCTCCGGCTTTCTACCAGCGCCACCAGCCTTCTTGCGAGGAAAAAGGGGCTTATGTTTCTTATTAGGAGCAGCTACGTCAATGGATCCCTCAACTCCATCTTCGATAGCAGCCTCTTCCAAAACACGCTTTTTTGTTCTAGCAGAACTACAAATCTTCAAGTCGCCAAATGTGCCATCTTTTAGCATTGTAATCATACGAGCCCACTAGTAAAGAAGACATCAGTGATTGGCCATAGTAAAAGTGTAAAATTGAATGGTAGAGTAAACTTACACGAGTACGTGCGGCTGCTGCGCTGGGAAGACCGAGGTCCTCAGCGAGCTTTTCATAGTCCAACTTGGGATATGTAGCACCCGAGAGAAGTTGATTGAACACTGCAGCAAAACATTTTTCTCGATCGGTCAAGGGGTTGTCGGGCTTTGGTGGCATCCTTGTAGATTTGATTGGTTATTAGAGTGGTTATGTATCGTTGATTTTTCTTGGGTTCGAAAGAAGGTTATGTGGACGTGCAAAATTGGTCGTTGAAGGAGATCCTTGATGGCAATTCTACAAATGTGGACGGATTTTTGTGGGATTGTGCGGAAATATCGAGCCGAAAGGCGACAGGAAATCTGAAGGGTAAGAAACTTGCGAAGCGATCGATTGGGATAGCACTAGACTATTAGGAGCTAGTACCATATAGATACTCTCAAATGAATTTGCGCATCTGTGTGTGATTGGATGCTCACGATTGACGGGTGACTTTGGTTGTATTTCGTTTCTCATGACTATCACTACTAGAGAACTCCTCACTTAAGCAAGACACCATCTAACCATCTTCAATGACTGTTCAATCATGATTCATTGACTAACTCCCTGCTTACTATCCGAAGCGCATTAACCCATCATGGAATTCTTCGCAGCACACTAATTGACTGTATCCCATCATTCCGTAAAAGCCCCGCCTGCCTCACTTTCCGCATGGTCTCAGACCTCATCCTCACCGGTCTCCTCCTTGACATCTTTCTTTTGCTTGCCCTTTCCTTTTCCCGCTTTCTGGGCACCTCTGTGTACGATAAGATTAGCATGCTTCACTTGAAAGATTAGTACGGATGTTAAGAACCTACTTGACTTTCTTGGTAGGAGAAGGCGCGGACTTGTCCATATACCCCCCAACTGGTACCTCGACTACTGGTCGTTTTCTTGCCGCAGCTTCATTAGGCTCCTTCGAAGCGATTAGACCCTCCATATCTCCAAAATCTCCATCTCTGAACTTCTTCATGAGATTAGACCATCTCTGTTTGGAAGCTACTCGATCGCGAAGGCCGACGGCTTCTGCCAATCTCAAATGATCTGGTCTTGGAAGGGGTTTGTTGTCAGGAGCGCATTGTACTAGTACTGCCATGAGCATTTTGAGGTCTTCGACACTTGGACTTGCAGACATATTGAGTTGATTTGTTCTAGTTTGGTTTGCAGGTTTGTTGCCGGGTGTTATTATTGTGGGATCGAAAGAGAGGTGTGGTATTGACGGACGTGGAGTTGGAAATGAGATTGGAAATAATAAGTTAACATCTAAGATCCTGCACAGTTAATATACTGTATCTCACATATCAAAAAGTCTCACAAATAGTTCTTCGGTTTCCCATGTAGATCTCTGTGGGTCTAGATGTTTGCATTTGATACTAATTTGACTCGCCTAGCCATGCACTTACTTTTCTAAGAAAGTCCGACCATCAATGCAATTCTCCGACACCCTTGTTTTCTGTAGCCTTCCATTGCTTATTATCATGCGCAGACTCAAGCCTCGTTGTCCGGGCACCAGCCTCAATCTTTCACCCAACCGCATTCTGACCTGAAAACTCTTCCCTTCGATTCGCTTCCTGCCTTGGTGGTTCATTTTCTGATGGCGCGTTTGCCGTCACTGACTTTCGATCGTTTGGTAGGGGAGGGCTCAGAATCGTTCGCCATCGTGTCCGATTCCTCAGCTGCTCGTTTCTTGACCGGAGAATCTTCTTCGCATTGCTGGACAGCACTCTCCTTCTTCTTCTTTTTGTCTGCTTGCGGATCCCGAATCTTGAGATCTCCTTTCGCTCCCTCCTTCAGTTCGTCCGTGAGTCGTCTCCATACTCCTTGTGCAGAAGCATAACTAGGCAATCCGAGTTGTTCTGCGAGAATGGTGTAGTTGGGAGCTGGGAGAAGGTCTTTCTCGTTACTTGAGAACTGTGACATTGTAGCCATAAGAATTTTGAATTTGTGTTCTATTGGCTGGGGTGGCATGATGATGGTACTTCGCGAGGTGGAATTTGTATGGCTGGTTTGTGGTTCTCAAGGTTGGGATGAAATTACTTGAGAATTATACTATCGCAAAGGCATTTCACACAATTAAATACTTTCTGTCATATTGTCCAAGAACTTGTAAAAAAAGAATTATTCATTCCATACCCCAGAACAATCTAGCAATATAATTCCTTTTCCTCGCATATCCGCCCCTTATGCAGAGCACAGACAATCCCCTGTCAGCCACCAACCACCAATATATGCACGTCTCCTTCCAGCTTAGGCTTCAGCCCTGCACAATCTCAATCCCAGCAAGCCATTATCTCAAGCCTCATCGTCGGGACCAAAAGCAAAGATAGCATCCTCAAACGCTTTGTCCCCTTTATCGCTGATCTCCAACTTCACAACTGCCTTTCCCTGTCCTTTGTCTTTCTTTTTCATCTGGCTCGGGGGTTGGGACTCGTTGTCGTCTTCGATGGTGACCTTTCGCTTTCTACCTCTTCCACTTCCATTGCCAACTCTATTGACAGCTTTGTTTGCGTCTTTCTTGGGCGAAACGTTAGGAGTGGTAGGAGGAGGTTCAATTCCATGTCGTTGCTTCAGACCCTTCCAGCGTATTCGAAGACTCTCAACCATGGTTCTGGTGATCTCTGCAGGCTCTAGCTCGGGATGTAGAGATTGGGCGAGGACTTTGAAATCGACTCTGTCGATCTGTTGGAGGACTCCAATCATAATTTGTTTGTCGTTGTCGTTCATTGTGAGTGGTATTGGGAAGCGTTGAAGTGATTTTGTGTTTCGTGGAAAAGAATTGGTTTGGTTAAGATCTGACACTTGTTGCACAGAGGAATAGATATTAATATACTGATTGGGGTGCAATGTTAATTCTAGAAATGGATTAAATATGCAAAGATTGAACATTAGAAGAAGAAGCGTAAAGGTTTGCTTTTCGAAGCCTGCATGCATTCCATTTGTTTCCCGCGTTCCCGGCTGTTACCTAGTTGACCTGAAAAATATCTATCATATTCTCACATAGCCTACGCTTCGTCCTCGTTCTGATATCCTCCATCATCTTCATCCTTGACAGCCAAGTCTTTTATTCCCTCAACTTCCGGGCCAGCCTGTATCTCCCCATCTTCCTCTTCCTGCTCATCCTCCGCATCACTAGTCTCTTCCACAAATTTTGTAACCCTTGCTCGTCGCGAAGGCAATCTGCGTGATGGTGTGACTGGCTCTTCCATTTTGACATCGAGATCCGGAGCATTTTTGTCGTAATCCATCTCCTCGTCCTCTTCCTCGTCTATGTCTAATTCCTCTTCCTCTTCGTCACTCTCTTCCTTGATTCGACCGCGTGACTTCTTGGGGCTTCCGCGGGTGTTCTTCTTTGGACTACCTCTTACCTTTTTCGGTGAGACTAATCCGATATTCTTGCCGACTCCAGCTGCCTTCCTCGGTGTGATTGATGGTGCCCCTTTTGTAAGTTTCTGTTTGTAGCGATCCCATCTGCAGCGAGCGGCTTTGGATGTAGCGACGCCGATATATTTTGCAAGTTCTGTAGAAAGCGTGAGGTTAGCGTTTGATGGCATTAATTTGCAATGAACTATCATCTGGGAATGGTTGAGGGGAACACTGTATACCATCGTAATCAATGCGGCCAACTTCGATTTGGGTCAACACTCCCATGAGGAGCTTCTCTTCCATGGATGCCATCTTGAGGAATAAGATCGATCGTGTATTGAAATGCCTGTTTGCGATGTAAGAGGCTCAATTAGTTCAAGAAAGTGCTGAGTAAATCGATAATGCTTTTGAAAGACGAGAATCGAGATGGGCTAAGTTACCGAAGCTCTTGATCTGAGAAATTGAAATAAATGACTGATGGTGGGCATCGAGATCTTTATAGTGGTATTTTGCTGTTTCATGAATCAAGCTAGACCGGAATCGGAGAGTTTCTTTTTCTAATTTGATAGACGAGGTAGGAATATTCCAGTGGAGTAGGCGTCCTACTCGGTTTCACGGTTGTGCACCAAAAGTTTATGAAATTGCTTTCTGGCATGTATTGTGTCTGTATTCTAAGATCAAGCTTTGAAGTCCACAGCAGAGACAGATCCTAATCTAATTCTCGCAAACAAAATCTACCCCGATGCCAAACCACATACCCCATTGTCAAAAAATGAAAGATACCTACAACACCAAAACCTGGAATAGTCTCGCAGTAAAGCCGGAGTGGTGCAAATTCAACGTGTATCTAAGCTTCCCAATCTTCCTCGCCACTGTATTCGTCTACCGTTCTGCCCCTCTTCTTCATCTTGTCAGGAACTTTTGTGTAGTCGATGTCCTCAAAGCCAGACTCGAACCCCTCATCTTGGCCATATACATAATAACCTTCCCCGATATCATTACTGCCCCGCTTACTCCTCTGTCTACTTTTGATACTCTTCGTCGCACTCTTCAGAAATTTTCTCGCCGGCATCTGCATCAATTTAGCCCCCTCTTTCTCTTCATTCAAATCTCCATCTGTGTCCTCCATCTTTCTCTTGCCCGTTTTCTTAGGTGACTCTAGACCAGTTCCCTCCCTTTTAATCTCAAACTTCAGTGGCGAGCCAGGCAGATTTGACCTGGTAGCTTTGGTGTTCGCTTCGACTTTTGCAGGGCCGTTTGTTGCTTCATCGTCCTCCTTTCTGTCCCCTTTCTTATCTTTGTTTCCGGAGTTCCTTCTGTGATTCTTCTCGTTATCTCCGCCATCATCTTGACCCTGATCCTCAGCCGCTCTGTTTGGCCTGCTGATCCCAAAACTGTTCAAAAGACGAATCCATCTATGTCTGGCAGCATTTGGACCATTAACGCCCATGTCCACCGCCAAGCGTGTGAAGTCGATCCTGCCAATTTCGAGTTGCTTGAAGAGGGCGCCCATAACTAGATTATTGTTGTTGACATCGGCAAGAGTGGGACGTACCCCATCAGTTCTGGTGAAACATCTTTTGAATCGGTGGAAGCGATGCCGAGCAGCATTTTGACCATTAACACCCATATCTTTTGCTAGACGTTTGAAATTGATGGCACCATGTGCGCCAATATCGATCTGTTTAAAGAGAGCTGTAAGAACGAGAATGTTGTTTTGGGTCTCTGCGTCGGTCGACATGATTACTGCAGGTTCGAGTTGGTCGAATGCAAATGTCAAGGTTAAGGGTGTCACTTTGGCGGAGAGATGATACTGTTGAAGTTTGGATGTAGAAGAGGATGTGAGTAATTTACGAACGGCAGGTGCGAGTTGATACGTTATGGTTACCTGCAGCTAGAACCAGCTCGAGTTCAACTTGAACTTTCTTTAGATTTACCTGATCGTTTGTCTGATTGTTCTGATGCAAAATTTACTTTTTTCAAAAAAACCCCTCGATAGTTCTCGCAAAATTGTTTAATCAATGAGACAAAAGGAATATTGATAACGGATGTAGGTTCAATGGTCCCCGCATACAGGGCTACGTGCATGGATGATGACAAAATTCTATCACATTCGGAACAATGAATTACGGAGGCGTTCTCTTTGCGCCAAAGGCCACTGTTTGATTATGAGAGAAAACTGGGAGATTGGAGGTGATGCCTATCTAGAACTTTTCCCCAATATCGCTATTGCTAGCATCCTAGCTTTGTCCTTCAATCCAAACGCCCCAGCCTGTATGAAGCTTCCAGTTCTAGTCAGAAGGCTGCCTCATCATCGTCAAAACCCTCCTCGGATTCTTCTACCTTGATATTAGATTTGGCAGTGACTTCATCCTTGATACCCTTCTTGCCACGCTTGTCCTTTGTGATAGTAGTCTTCTTCTTGATAAACTTATCTTCAGAGACCTTGTTCTTGACAGAAGTCTTGTGATTACGCTTGGGTGTAACACGGAGTGCCTTAACACCCTTTCCAACCACATCCTTGCCACCAACACGCTTTCCACCGCCATCTTTTGTGATAATCTCCTGATCCTCACCACTGGCTTCTGCTTCGGTCTCCTCTGCCATGCCTGCGACAACGACTCCCTCATCCGCGGCCTTTTTTCCCTTGCGCACTCTGATTCCAAGACGGGACCAGCGCTTTTCAGTAGCTGTCTTTCTGATTCCCAAAGCTGCAGCCACGGCATCCACGCTACCAGCAACACACGCGTTGATTTGCTCTTTTGGAACGTGTTCGATGATGGCCCATAACAAGTCCAGCTCAGCTTGAGTAAACTTGGGTTGGTGAGGTTTTTCCGACATGCTTGTGGACGGTGAGTCTTTGGAGGAAGTGGGTATACGATTGATTTAAGGGGGAGGTGACGAATAGGTAGACCACAATTGACGATAATCTGAGATTCTCGATGATTCGAAGAGCCGGAAGATATCTCGATATTTGTTTTTCTTTGGAGGTGTTTTGGTGCTTGTGCAAGTAACCGATATCCCTGCTACGTGCACGACCCTACTATGTGCACACTTTTATTATTTATATAGAAAATTGAATTAAAAATTGAAAAAGCGATATTATAATTTGAAATTCAAAATTGAGATAATTGAAATAAACTTATATAATATTTTGAAATAAAAAAATTAAAAATCTCAAAAATTATAATAATAATAATGATAAATAAGATATTAATTTTTATAAAAAAAATTATTTATTTATTAATATATTTTATAATATAATTAAAAATATAAGTTTTTTTTAATGAAATTATGAAGTTCTATATATTATAATATAAGATATTTGAAAAAAACTAAAGTTTTTTATCGAAAATTTGAAATTATATTAATATTAAATTCTAATATATTTTATAAAAAATATTTTAATAATTAATTATTAATAGAATAATGAATTTATAATATTTTATTCTATTTTTAAGTTATATAATAACAATAATCTTTAAAAAAAAATATAAATATATTAAAATCTATAATTTATTAATATTAAATTTAAATAAAGATTTATAAAAACTTATTAGGAATTTGATTTAATCTAATAATAAATATAATATAAGTATTTATTAATTTTTTTAAGAAATTTCAATCTTAAACTTTTTTGTTATATAGTTTTTAATCAATTATTAAAGAATGAAACTATATTGATCAGATTTTGATTTAATAAAAAAATTTAAATTTCGAAAATTAAATTATTAATTAATATTAAATCAATTTTTATTTAAAATAATTTTTTTAAAAATGAATTAATAATATTTTGAATTGAAAAAAAAATTCTTTTTAAAGAATTTTATTTTAAAAGAATTTTTATATAATTAGAATCTTATTATATATAATAGAATTAAGATTTAGATAATTTTAAAAATAAAATTTCAAAAATAAAAGATATTTTTTAAATAATTTTCTTTTATTAATCAAAACTCTATATATTTTAATATTTAATATAATCCCTTTTTTAAAAACTTACTTTTTAAATCTTTAATATTAAATATAAAATTTAAATTCATTTAAAAAAATATTTTTAACTTTTCTAAAAATATTATAAATCATTAGAAAAATCTAAGAATCTATATTAAATTTAATTCTTTTTACTTTTTTGATTTTTTTGATTTTTTTATAATATTATTAATATCAAAAAATCTATAAAAATTTATTATAATTCTATAAATAGATTCTAATATATTATTTATTAAGAAATTATATATCAAGATTCTATATTCTCTTTATTTAATTATTCAATCAATTCTTAATTTAATAATTCGAAATCCTTATAAATTGAAATTGATAATATTAATTAATTATTGAATTAAATTTTATATTATTATAATGATTTTTAAATTTTAAATTGATTTTTGTTTTGATATAAAAAAAGTGTGCATATAGTAGGGTCGTGCACGTAGTAGGGATATCGGTTATCAGAACTTCGGCTATTTTATGAGTGGTGATCTAGCGCACAGGCCTTCTTGAGATTACAACAGCACTGGGAGTCGAGATAATACTAGATATCAGCCTTCTCGTTGAGAATTGAAGCCATTGATAAATACTCTTTAAACACTTTAGGTTCAAGGAATATCAAGAGAATTGATTCCATGCATGTCTGATGAGAAGTCTATCCAGTATAATTTTGAGCCACTGAAGCTTACAGCTGGTGGTAGATACTTTTGTCTAGAGCGCTGGTTCATGGGTGGGTGTTGCGTTTCACTATTTAGGCAACATTTCCTTCTCAACAAGGCAAAAGTCTTTTGAGGCGCGAATCTGCATGGTGTTTACTCGAATGATCATAGAAAGTTTAAGAAACTTTCTTTGGTAAGAGATGTTTCTGTTTGTGGGTGATTATAATGCTCACTACAAATAGAGAAAATTTGCCATCAAACGACTACTCTCCCAATCGCCACTTGTCAAGCATCTGGAGAACTATCCGCAAGGCAACACCATATCCAAGAAACATCAAGCTCGTATTCGACATCCTGACTTTAAACGCAAACATGCCTCCCAACCCGAGAATTGACAATAACACTCTTGTTTGGAATGCTATATCCAAGCAATTTGATATCGCAGATGAGTTCAAGGGAATCTGGAATAAGCTTGACCATGATCGCTTGATTGCAGATATGGGTGTTGCCAACAAGAATGCAGCCCACCATAGATTTAGGAGATGGATATCCTCGATGGCTGAGCAAAGCGGCCAGTTGAGCCCGGATAATGAGGATATGGGGGAAGCTGCGAAAAACGATGAACCGCCCGCGAGGGGTCGGAAGAGGGGCGTTAAACAGTCATTGAAGAACGCGATCAAGGCGGAAGGAAATGTGCCCGTATTGAACAAGAAAGTTGCAGGAAAGAAAGTGGCTACTGGTAGGAGGAAAAGGATCAAAGGATAAGAACTTGGCTGACGAGGAACAGAAACGGTAATAGCGAAAGTCGCCTTAGACACCGACGAGGATGACCTGGAAGAAAGTTATTGAGATCAAGAACTAGAAGCCCAGGGACAAATGAATTAAGGCTAGCATGACTGAATCCTAGCGAAGACTACACTGGTTGAAGGCTTAGGTCGAGGACCTAGACTACAATTATTTTATGGACTGGAACAAGAGGCTACGGGTGGGGGGTGATAGTGATAAATATTTGAAAGTCGGGGGGCACATTGCGAGTGGCTGGTATTGCAATTTGGGACCAGATTTTAGTTTCAGATTGGATCTGAAAGCTTTTCCTGTCCATCATTGAAGTTCTCCTTCATTTTCACCACTTGAATGATTCTTGAAGAGCCATGTGCAACACCTAGCCTCCGCGCCCCTCGGATGCATGTTCTTCTCCTTGTTTTTACCATGGTGCGAACACAAAAGCACAAAAAGGCTTCGAGTCATTATGTATCCGTTGTGCGATAGTACAATGATACAAGGCAAGTATGAGACACCTACAAAGCTAAACATAGTTGCATTGAGGAGATTGATTGTTGTGCTCTGCAGTGTGTACCGCTAGGATACATGGTCATGGATACACCTGATGTTCATCAAAGAACAGGTGGTAAGTTTGAATGCTTCAATGGTTGAAGGTATTCAAATTTGTCAAGTAGCACTTGCTGATACTCCCAGATAGAATTCTCCAGCAGTAGTTGTTGGTTGTTTAGTCTATAGAGGTCTTTTAGTTCTTTTGATGGTCGAGGCACGGACCAACGGAACAACATTTAGGGTGCCCGACCTTGCACTTGGCCACAAGATCAATTTTGTCTCTCTGAGGTCTTCCAACTCTCAAAATATCAACAACTACGAAAATTATGGAAACAAAACAATCACAATTCAGTCAAGAACTCTGAACAAAGTATCACAAAGAAAATTTAGATAGGAAGAATGCTATATGTATTACTTTCCGACACTGTGTTTGCTTTCCTTAGGGAACAAGTAGACGGCAACGCTTCCACTCTCTCGACTTTATGGAGCAAATTTGCCCCAAGTCCTCGCGATCTCATAAGTCAGCTTAAACTCACAGATGGTAGCAGATGCTCACACGATCAAGGAATCCGCTTTCCTTTTTGAATCAGCGTATTGTGCTTCTTCTCAAATTTCGATTGAAATACAGCTGCCACGAGTGGCACGGCTTCCTTGTATTGATCAATTACCTTACTTCTATCAGACTTCGGCTATTCATCAATTCACTCCGGGCTATCTGCTTTCCTAGACATATCGTATAAAGGGGGGAATTGATCTAGAGGAGATAGACATCTGAAGCGGGGCGTGCGGCTCAACCCTGGGCGAGGGGAATCCGAGTGCTTACACTGGGCCCGAGTTGCTGGTGTTTTATGTACGATTGGTTTGTTACTTTGGCCTTCGCTCTCATCCAGATGCATATGAAGAACTACTTATAAGTGTATGCGATACAGTGGCTATCGAGTTACTCATCGTTTAAACATTCAAAATGTCTTTGATATGGCATTGCACAGTTTTCCATGCGGCATTCGCTACAATATTTCTACTTTCTGGGGGGTTTTTCTAATTTATATTGTTCCGTTTCCAAACCAATTCCAAAAGCTTCCGTTCATGCTACCGTGGATACACACATAGACAGCGAGTGCTTGTGCAAAATTATGTTTTTCGCTTGTCTTGCATGACTCAGTATTGGGCTATTTCCGTCTACAACCCCTGCTTCCTTGATTACTCGGCCTGGAGATAGTAAGAATAGGGAATATTAAATGCTCGATAAATATCACATGTCGAATTGCGAAAAGAAGGGTTGAATAGTTGCGACTAGGAGAAGTTTATCTAGGTATCTCACGTTCACAGAAATTCAGCCAAGAGACCATGCCAGCATGATATCTATTTTCATCTCAGCATTTTACTGCATTCCTAAGAGCCAGGAGAGAGATTATCCTATGTATTCATTGGGGTCTATAGATAATGCACTTTAAGGTTTCTGAGACTTGAAGATACCATCAGGTGATGTGTACCGCTGCATGAATTACGCGTTTTGTTCTAGAATAGTAGCTGAACACTAGCTAATTACAGACTACGGAAGGTACAAGTCCGTTGCACTATTTCGGCTGATTATTCCGGTTCAATGCTACGATCTGGTGACAATTGAATTTGAACGATTCGGTACGGGCATGAAGAATTTCCTTGAACGCCGATTGGTATTCATTACCCCAGATTTTGTGGAAATCGTGCATGTGCCTTGCGGATATCGTACCGTAAAGCCTGTGGAGCTAGATGGATCGTCTAATCACTACGTCGTGAAGATCCACTCACTCAACTCCATCAATCATATCGGCGGCTTAACACGAAAGAATAAACCTTATATTAATTTAATATCAATTTAAGCAGTACTCTTCTTGTGGTCGAACAGAGGTTCTTCCGTGTAATCGAAAATAGTAACTATGATTTCATGTACCAGTGATTTTCTTCACGAGCGTTGCTTGATACGGAAGATTCGATGATTTTCCTTCAGTCACAACGTTTTCTTGAGTTGAGTATGTACCGTAATCCTCTTTTCCGGGCCGACGGGATATAATTGTTCCCTTCGCATTGCTACCGCTGTCTAGGGTGGGTCGAAGTCAGTCTTTCCCCCTACATAAATTGTCGCTCTCCTCCATTTATTCATCTTGGCTTGTATCATCCATTCCATTGTATTTCGATCAAAAGGTTTGATCAAAAGTCGTCAGGATGAAAGTCTCAGTTGCAATCATCACCTCTTGTGCGGTTGCTCTCGTCAGAGGCCAAGCTGCCGGATATGCAAAGTGTAAGTACTTATAATGACAATGCTTTATATATGCTGATGATTGATAGGTGGTGGGCAGGGTTGGACAGAAGCAACAACCTGCGTAGCAGGATATACATGTGTATATGCAAATGAATTCTACTCCCAATGCATTCCGGGATCAGGTTAGAAATCTCCCTGAGACAATCCTTGGCATCTCCTAATGTGGTACGCAGCATCCACAACTCTCACTACAAGCACCAAACCCGCCACTACATCAACTACATCAACTACCAAGCCAGGCACCACCTCAAGCACAAGCACTACAGCCGCGCCAGCGAGCACCGCTACATCCATAACTGGTTATGCTAAAACTGCAGGAACTGTTTTCCAAATCAATGGCAAGAAAACATACTTCGCAGGAACGAATTGTTATTGGTGCGGTTTCTTGACCAACAATGCAGATGTAGACTTGGTTATGTCTCATCTTGCTTCTGTAAGTGTAACAATGCCTTTTATATAACAGTGGCTAATTCGTCAAAGTCTGGTCTTAAAGTACTTCGTGTCTGGGGGTTCAATGACGTCACAACAGCACAAGGTTCTGGAAGCGTTTGGTATCAATCTTTCATAGCAGGACAGTCACCAGCGATTAACACCGGTGCCAATGGCCTTCAACGTCTTGACTATGTCGTACAATCGGCCCAGGCTCATGGAATCAGTCTCATCATCAATTTCGTCAACAACTGGAACGATTACGGCGGAATGCAAGCATATGCTACATACTACGGTATCTCCTTGACAGATTGGTACACAAACGCAGCAGCTCAAGCCCAATATAAAGCATATATTGCTGCAGTAGTAGCCCGCTACAAGACAAATACCGCAGTTTTTGCTTGGGAACTTGCCAACGAGCCTAGATGTACGGGATGTGCTACTTCAGTCATCACAAATTGGGCTACCAGCATCTCTAAATATATCAAGTCTCTCGACCCCAACCATATGGTAACAGTTGGAGACGAAGGATTCGGTCTCACTGTTGCAAACGATACTTCCTACCCATTCACTGCCGGGCCTGGTACATGGTTCACAGATCTCCTTGCTATCCCAACCATCGATTTCGCTACTATTCATCTTTACCCTGGTTCATGGGGTGAGGTTGATTCATGGGGATCCTCCTGGATCTCGAGTCATGCTAATGTAACTGCTGCTGCTGGTAAACCATTAGTATTGGAAGAATATGGTTCACCTACGCATCTCAATGAATTGCCTTGGCAAGCAACCGTTCTCGACACTGCAACTGCTGGAAGTATGTACTGGCAATACGGCGACACTCTTTCGACAGGCAAGACTTCAGATGATGGGAACACGATTTATTATGGAACAAGTGAATATACTACGGTGGTGACCAACCACGCCGCTGCATTGAACGCAAAGGCGGTTCCATAAAGTGGGAATGGAGTTCTGGGAAAAACTGAAGGAGAATGAGAAGGAAGGAGAGTAAGGTGGGGCTGTACATAGCTTTCCTAGTTGTAACAAAAATTACACACTGTCGTTACTCGCTATATCAGCCAACCGCTATCTCGCTATGTGCTACCAGTTTCTCTCTGGTTATGTCTTCGTGAACCTCGAAAAGAAAAAACTCAAGAAATCAAAACAACAAAATTCTTGTCGTGCTTTCTCTTCAAGACCTTGGTCTAGTCAAATTCCATGGACACAAGGTTATCATTTTACAAAGTAAATGCAAAGCTAGCTATAACTCTTGGACACTCCTCAGGTAATTTATCTTTCTCGTACGCTTTTTGATGGCTTATAACTGCGTACTTCTATATACCACCCACCTTCTCCTTCCTGTGTCTAACCATCATACACTCCACAAAGTCACTCTTTCCATCCACTGGAACTACTAGTCTCGCCCTCTCCTCAAACCCAAAATGCTCATAAACCTCCTTGCCCACGGGACTAGCTTCCAAATACGTCTCAACTCCGTCTTCATCCGCCCTCTCTAATCCCCATCTCATGAGTTTCCCCGCTGCTCCTTTGCCCTGAGATTCTGGCTTCGTAGCTATAAGCTCCAAATACCAATGTTTTCTCTCATCCATAATCTCTCTACGTCTTTCTATCAACGTCCCGAAAAAGTGATTCGCAATCTCTACATCACAACCATGAGGCCATTCTGGTAACTCGTTGATTGTAGCCACGGGAGCAGATGTGTCGTTCCATTTTGCGAAAGAGATGACCTCTGAAGTCGGAGAGGAAGAATCTTGAACGCAGAGGAAATGGGATGAGGGATCTTGTATTTCGGACAGGATGGAGTTGTACCACCAGGTCCATGATACGGGGGAGCGAGGGAAGCAGAGGAGAGAGATTTCGTCACTGCTGAAGGCAGAGAAGTAGATATTTGTTAGAGCTTCTGCGTCGGCAGTGGTTGTGGGACGAAGTGTGAGATTCATCGTGGAATTGAGTTTAGGGGCCAAAGATGCGGGGTAGACTTTGAACTCAGGTTATAGTATTGTCCTGTACCAAAGAAATTGTGAAAATTACGGATTTTTTGAATTGATTTAGGTGTTGTAATGAAGAATACCTTTTATTTCAAGTAAAAGCTCACAGTTTGCCTAATAGAGGGAATGTTTTGCCGTCGACCACATCGCCATCGTCGGCGTGAGTCAGCCTCTATTCTACCATGATTTGTCATCGCTAATTTTAGTCCGAACCCAGTGAACTTTTACCTTTTGTAACTTCACAAATATCTACATCTACAACTATCTCTAACAACGACAACGACTTTGAGCAACGTGTAGCTAAAGCTGTGATATAAAATTGAAACAGCAAGGTCGTAATTCCAAATCACCACACAGTGAGAGTGCGAGGCTCCACACACTCAGCTGACCTTCTGGCTCCTCTTATTCCTTATTTACCGGCAACTTATCCGAACTTATATCGGGATTTCGCCTCAACATCCAGACCATCAACAAGCATAAATTTGGCTTTCGATATATTAATCCGTTGGAGGAAAAATATACACCAAAGCTTGGGGCCACGGTTACTTTCTTCAATCTCCGTTATCCACTTTTCACCACTTTAATTTCTCGACGTTTCATCCAAGTGATTGATTCTTTTGAGCTTCTGATCTGTTCTCGTATCGTTTGTAACATTGTGAAGAAGTCAACGTCAAGATGAAAGTTCCTTTTGCGCTTGCAGCTTTGTTTCCTCTTTTTCTTTCAGCGTCAGCGAAAACAATACTTGATGTTGAACCAATATATATCGGCCATGTATTCTACCCGCCATCCATGTATTTCTTGGCATGGACACCATCCTCTCCATCCATCTCCAAAGAAGTAGCAGAATCCCCAAAATCAACAACACCAGAATGGTGTCGAACAGCAATTGACGTATCAGACGCCGCCAACTTTTCTATCGCGCATCCTCAATTCACACGAGGCAATTTAACCAATTTACGGTTCCACAACTACTTTTCGGAAGATGCATATATCGAAAGAAATGGAGAGCGATGGGGAGAATGTTATATCACACCTGAGAGCCGAGATATTGGAGGATGTACTACTGGAGATCGATGGTTTGGATGGGGAAAACGGACGTGGAGTTGTTGGCCTGTGATTGAGGATGTGCCACATCATCAAATTATGGGAGAAGCAGAGGTAGAAATTGGGACAATGATGAGTTTGAGTGTTGGTAGTGGGTATACTGGAGCGATGGAACGGTCTACATTGGCTCAAGAAACTGGAAGACCGATGGGTAGTGAAGTCAAGGCAGCATTTACGGCGGTTATGACGGGGTCCAATTATTGAATGAAAGGTTTTTGTTTATCATGATCATTGTTGCACGTCTTGCTGCGCTCCACTTTCTCTCTTTTTTAACTTTGTCGATGAAGCAACAGCTGAAGTGTAATTATATGCTAATCGTTTCTCCAAAGTCAATGCTGCTCCCTCAACCAGACAATTCCCCACGCTGAAAGTCTACCAGATAGAATCTGCCATAATCAGGGCCAAATCTACGTGGATTGGCATGTGTACCCCGTCAAAATATTTCCTCTTTTCTCCAGTTTTCCTCCCGTTTACAGCCCTCAAAATCCAATTATTTAAGACCCAGTTCCGCTCCCTCCTTTGTTTTTCTTCCATCTTTAAAAACGCTACCTTTCTTCCTGTGGTAATTAATGGACAACTTCCTTTTCTCACCTGATTCAATGGAAGAGTTAGAAGGTTTGTAACCAATATATCCACACTGGGATAATCAGCACTTATGGGCCTCAAAATATTGTTATGGAGTATATCATGTTGTCGTTCAGCGTCTATTCCGAACATCATAGTTATTGAAAGTATGAGTAGTTTGACAAGAAAGGCAAATGAGAAAGATACAATAACATCGGAGAACACTATGGCAGTAAAATAGACCTATTGTGTTACCACCATAGTTCAACTAGCAATCTTGCATTTCAATCTGATCTCTAACCAAAATTCGTTAAGTTATCATCGTCCCGAAAGACTAGCCTTATCATTCATATGTCATTTTGTCCTGCAGCGCAAAATTTTGTTGGTTTCTGTATTCCAAATCAAGGATTCATCATATATCTCTCAAGTGAGACACTAGTCTATCTTGAGCTAGATTGATTTGATACAACTTCGAGTAAATTTGTTCTTCAACAAATATACCAACTGCTGCGCAAATTAATCCTCCCTAATATTCTGTTCTCGAGGCACCGGGGAAATTCTTTAAAATAAGTGATAGGAACTCACTGGAAATAACAAGCAACTATCATCCAGCGAACGCAGATTGACTAGGATCCAGAAATGATATCGTTATTTGTTTTACCGTCAAGCACTTCCACTTTCTCAAATCTCGAGAGATGAATGTCCGAGTTCGCGGAGAAAAATGTATTGTAAATTACTGTCGTTGTCATGAAATGGAAATGGAATGATAAAAGAATCCCATAAGCGACAACAGCAACAACCACCACCAGTTATCATACTATCACGGTACCAGGAATAACCTAACATAATCTAGCACAAGTGGAGCTTTTGGCGAGACACTGGACCCGTCAAGTATATTCATCATCTCTTTTTGTTGGTATCAACTTGGTTGATAAGTGTAAGTACTTAGTTCTATGGTGGTTGTATTGTTCTTGATCATTATTATCTATGGGAAGCTAGTGCTTAATATAGGGAAGCGCTAGCGCGACGCTAGCTAATACAGTGCCCTCTTTGATCACATGATCGATGACCCGACACTTTTCTTCACTCAAGGCAACAGATGAGCTTTTCCCTTAAACTATAGCTAGTCTCTCTGAGGTCTCTATTATAGTGGAAATGTTGGATAGTTATATATAGGTATCAATATGATTATTGGAATTATTGGCAGACATTCGCTCAAAGCCATCAATGCAAAGCCACACGTATTCCATCAACTCGATTTGTCCAAATTCTGTTTATAATTAGATCATTAATTTTGCATGGACCTGTCGTCCTTCATTCACCCTATCTTCTGTCTTGATGGAGGCGCTCTTCTCTTTTCTTCATGGCTATACAATGGACGAAAATATCTCAGCGAGAAGTTAGGTGTTTCGGATTTTCCGTGCTACAAAACCATCGAGTTTCGAGTTCCAGAGGGTACCTCGTTTTCACCAAGTTTCCATTACTTGCCTCTGAGTGATAACTATAGAGAGGGGTGATTGACATGGCAAGCGTAACAATGTATGAGATCGATGACAGTAATTATACCTTGGCGGTGGAAATTCCATAGAATATGAATACTGAACAACAATCACAATAGAACGATGATCTTTCAGTATTCTTGTTAAACCACGGTTCTCAAAGACAAGTGGAACAGAATATTAGATCTCCACGCTTTGCATCCATATTAAGACCCTCTCAAAATAGCCACCCTGCATCGACATGCAAATTGCCACGAGAAAAACGATACAGAAAATACACCGCCTGGAGATGTTTATATAGCCTGTGGCAGATCTGTTGATGGGTATCAGTATTGATTTCTGCGGAGAGTGGCAGTATTCACTCAAAATTACATGATCTGTAGAGTGTCTTCAGGAGTTACACCCATGTTCATAGACTGTATGATAATTTTCTGGTTATCCATCACCTTCCGTCTTTGATCAAAAGGTCGAGTGCTCCTTCCACAACCATAATATTCATACCAACTTCCAGATTAAAATTATTCACATCCAATCATCCCATTAACATACCGAATACGAACGTCCATCAAACAAATTCAATAGGAGATATAGTTCAGTGGTAGAACACACACCTCTCAGTGTGATTCCGAAGATTGAAAAGATTTATGAAAATGAGTCGTGCCTTGGTGATCCGGCAGTTGGAAGATTCTACCGTGAGTGTGTAAGAGGGAAGTTCGATTCTTTCTATCTCCATATTTTGTCGCGTAATGCGATTTTTTGTTTGTCACTTCTCGCCAAATGTTGTTGTTCAGTAATCCTTTCATTTTCGTCTATCCGGTTCAAGGTGATTCAAAATGGATGAAACGCAGTTGAGTTATTTATCTTGAACAGAATCGTGGTTGCTATAGACAAATCATTCCTGCGCGTCGCCATTTAAAGTTTGACTAGAATTATTTCCTTCTCCATTGCCTATATTCACAAGCCCGAAATCTTTTCGCACAACCTGAATTTGTGGGTCAGACCCTTTTATAAGAATGGCAGTGATCTCCTTAGACCTCTCCTCCATCGCGTTGGCGGTAGGTTTGCACCAAAACTCTCTGTTTGATCCTCTCATGATCAATGCCAGCGGTGAGGATTTCCATATTGGTACTTGCTGTCTATCCATAACGACAATCACTGCCACGAGACAGACTAGTGAGAGGACTGCCAATGTTGCTGGAAATGCTATCCATAGCCATTGAACGCGCAAACATGTTGCATAGTTTAGAACTTTCCCAACAGCAGGATCTGAATAGTTATTGCTTCCATGCGTTCGTATCCACGCTGTGGTTATGTCTGATACATTTGAAAATGTTTCCTCGATATTTTCAAATTCAATGTAGCCGCTGTCATACAAGTCCAGCATCATTCGAGGACCAACCACGTCAGAAAATTGAGTATGCCTTTTACCTCCTTCTTCAATACCGGGCCCTTCCATAATGCCCGTGAACGACTCTAAACTCAACACATCGCGATTAAAACTGCTGCCCACCACATTAGACATGAATCCAAAGCTGTTCATGGTCATATCTGTCATGAGATACAAGCAACGGTGTGAGGAAAGAGACGAGACTAGATCATCTTCGACCGGAGACGGGCTGTGAGACCTGTTAAAAGGAAGCCATTGTGAAGAGCTGTCGATATTATAGCCTTGTTTTGACAATCCACCTCTTTCTCTTTCCGATATACAATGTGTATCAATCATTCCTATCCAATTGTTATCGCTAGCCTCGAATCCATCATCAAGTCCTGGAATGAAACCCCAAGGGTCAATTGCGCTGCTAGAAATTAATTGTTCAGTAAGCCGAGTACCGTTAATATTCGCCTTGTAGGTGCGAATACACGCCTGTAGCGAACATACAGCTGCACCGTATCCTTGAAGCCGCCAAGGATTTGATGCTATTGTCATATTAGGATATATCCAAGGTCCCCCAAGGTCTGATTCTCGTTTAGTTGGATCTATGGTCCTCGGAACTATGATATAAATTTCCTGACAGCGACGAGCTAAATTGCTGAAAATTAACGATGTGGCAAGTGTGTTGTGCATGGGACCCGTAGAGCTTGATGTCTCGTCAATTGTCCTGTTTATCCAAAAACCTGCCCATGGGGCTTCCTGGTCAGGAGGATATTTTCCCACGTAAAGACTAGTTGTTGCAACAGAGCCTAAAACTCCAGCGCAATATTCTGTTCCAGAAGTAATATTAATGTTTGTCTGTTTATCATAACAGGTAGTCTCGAAGATGAGTTCATCCGATATGTCTTCACAGCTGCTGCAGTATGCCAATGATCGATATGTATCTGAAAATGTGCAATTTCCTGTTTCGCACTGCCAGGTCATCCAGTTCTCCGGGGTGTAAATAGCAGATTTAATTGGTAACCCGAGAGACATGTCCTCGTCCTCGAAGATTTGAAAAAGGTCTACCTGATTGGTTCTGGGCAACGTCGCGTTGCGATTCGGTAGTGCTATGCTGCAATCGTATGGCATTACCACTTGCTGGATCAAAGGGTCAATGGCAACGGCAGCTATTAGTATTACGGAACCAAGTCCAGTCAGCGGATTCCGAATATGTTCAGAGCAAAGCAAGTGGATAGAGCCCCATGGCCCACGAGTTGCTCCATCATAACAAACGACATCGTAAAGTGGACGATGGGAAGAAAACCAAAACCATTGAAGTTGTCCAATGCATGAAGCGACAATGAAAGTCAGACACGTTTTGAACACAAGACCATAGATAGATAGAAGTGTGTTGATCGATATTTGGAATGGCCACTCTGGCAAAGGTTTTCCTGCATTGGGGTACAATGTCGCGACAATAATGAATGGACAGGCAATAACAATAAGGCTTGCAAAGAATTCCCACTTCCAGTCAACATAATACTCCATCAAACGATGGCGAATATCATGGACTTTCGCTTGGGATCGCGATGAGATTGATTTTATAGCTATGTCTGATGTACGACTGCTGGAATCGAGAAGAGAAGATGCATCACTGAACGAGGAAGGAAGTTGTGGTATGGACCCAAATTCGTGATTTATTGGTTTGGTGTAAGGCCGAGATTGCCGTCTTAAGCTCGGTGGGGTGAGGTCGATTTCGCCGAAATCTAGGCTGGGGAGGCTCGGATGATTTGACATTAGATTTTCAGTGCTCTGATTAGACATTTTGAAGAAAAATCAAAGTTTGAAAGAAAATTAAAAATCCCACAATATCAATTCAATCTGGAGGTTGAAAGAATCAATTAACGAATTCAAATTAATCGTGAGGCTTGAAGCAAACGGTGACCAAATCCGAATTTATGCGTAGTGTGGCCCACGTCCGTCTTTTAATATGTGGTCGATAAGTAAGGGCGTAACGGCATTGCAAGAATGTTCTCCCAATCAGAGCAAGAAGAAGTGAAATACGTTTTCTCTCTTGAAGATATATTCCCCCTTGAATGCAGGAGAGGGGCGTAGGAATTGTATAGACTTTGCCGCATAAGATTTCCCAATGGATTTATCCTCAATGTAACCTTACGGAAGTGTGCCCATTCCAGGAAAAGGGACATGAAGCTGCACCTGTGAGTGGACGGTCGGGGCACATATAAGCAGTCAGCAATTTAATCTTTCTTTGTGTTACGGGAGATGATTTCCATTCACAATGGTACCTATTTAAAGATAATCAATTTTACGAAACACAGCCTTGAAGATGAATTCATGGAGTTGAAAGGCGAAGTAGGTTTGATTCGTATTATCACGTTTTGTGAGTGCTATTGACAAAACATCTTGGTAATGATTTATTCTGGACAGGATCGAAGTGAAAGCTCTTAAAAATGTCTATACTACTCGACTAGAAAGGCATCGTCAAGTTATTCAATTCTTCAAGGTCAGTATATAAAGTCTGGAAGTTTCTCAAATCTAGAAATCAGCCCCTCAACCTTCCCTCAGTTCAATGTTTTGTCGAATAATGACATTGGTTTCCCTGTTTCTTCATTCTTTATCTATATAATTCGCTCATATTCTCATTGATTATCTCTTAGTTCAGCTTGCCATTCGGTTAGAGAAGATATTTAAGAAAGCCACGATACCCCCCTTATAGTGCACTTCCGTTCCTTTCTCTCGAATTTCTGATGGCTCCCTTGAAATTCCGGGCTGCTACAACATGAATTGTATCAAGGCTTCGAAGCACCTATTCGACAACAAATAACTCTCGGTAGCAATAACAATACTGCATATAAAATCATTTGCCTTCACAATCTCCACTTGCCTAGTTCTTAAGCCTCGAGCTAGGTCCAAACTCGCATTACCATTCCAATCCCTTGGCTATGATCTCAAGAAATTAATTCGGTCTTGTAATGGTCATCGAAAGCCTAGGAGAAGCCCTGAAAAGTTTAATTTTCCCGACCATGGAAGCTATTAAATATCCGGAGACATTTTTGGCGAATAGGCTAATAATTGACGTTAGTTAGTTGCCCGAGGAATTATTAAGCGTAGATTGTTGATCCAACTTTGAATACCACCTAACTACTCGCTCGATAGAATTCGTGTGAACTGCAGGCGCGGTATATATCCACCATTTGAAGCTTCTCATTCTGCCTTAACAAGCCTATATATCCATAGCTATCGTCTTTGTTATCATTGAAACCTTACTTGGCATGTATATCAGTGGCTCAAAGACGATTCTCCTAAGACGTATATACGAAGAGAGAGCTTGGACTTAGCGATCCAGATTCGAGCTTTATCATGTACCAATTTGTAAAAGCGCTTAAGTGGAGCTTTAGAAACATGTGGTTCATTGTGAAAGTTACTAGCATAGATGTTAGATGGTGCAATATGATGAGAGTGATTTCATCCACCAATTTACAGTGAAGATACTGCTAAATGGTGAGAATACGCACAGAAACTTGACTAGAAATAGCTGGCATAGAAATCGACACTGCTTAATGAAACTGACGAAGATTAATTGCGAGTCGTTTTCGAATGTATTCGTCGAGTAAAAAGTAGTTTCTCTACGACAAGAGAAACTAGAGAATATCGAAATCTTTAGTACCCAAATTATTTTACGGATCTACAACATTTCAACTAAATCAAGTCGTCATTACTACCCCGCTCCACTGACTGCAGGGTAAGCCACCTAGTCGGATTGTTTTTATTCGCATACATATCTCGTTCCAACCACATTGCCATGTAAACAGTATCAGTCCCAAGAACTTACAGGCCTGGGAAAAAAAATCCTCTTAAATCCGAAGGGCTCAAGAATGGGTAAGACTCGGATTTATACAGGGCTGAATGTTGTCTGCGGCAAGAGGGTGATATAAGTCAGCGCTAGATGCAGAAATATCCATATTTGACTGGCAAAGCGTGAGATAGAAGAATTTGATAACAGCATCTATCAATAAGTCAAAAATAAACTAATTTAGCGACAGTGAAAATGGAAAGCGAGGATTTTATCGAAAAGGATATAACACAGCTGAAAACTTTAGACCATATTATTAACACCCGAAAAGCTACACAAAATCTAAGGAAGATTGTAGTCGATTGGAGAAAAAAATTCAAATTCATATTGGACTTCAAGTACTGAATCAAATGCGCTTCCTGATAGAAAGAAGAACGTTGTTCATCTCAGTTCTTAAGTACGTCCCAATTCTCTACAAAGCGGGCCCGCTGATTTAAGCGAATGAATCTAAATCCAATCATGTTTTTTCCCAGAACTATTGTGTTCAACTGAGACTCCCTCTGATAGTGCGGATCTGTAATGATTTAATTGAATTTCCCGAATATCCCTGCTACCCCGCTTCAAGGTCACTCTTACTGCTTCTCATTTCGTTGTCGAACCTGACCCAAGGGAATTCTAAAATGCCCCGCAATAGCCTGCCCCACTCTTCACTTCATCCTATCCTCCCTCCGTCTTCCAACTTCATTGTATATATAGACCGAATAATCTTAGTTGCCCAACTATCAAGATGTGAGATAAAAGTATGAGGAAGCATATTATAACATTGAGGGATGCTTGAAGAGTTTCAATCAGCACGCATTGATATTAAGTACCGACTTTTCAATCTAAAGTCAGGAGGGTTTACGCTCGAACAATGATTGTCGAAATGAAGATTGTGACGTGAAAAAGATGATAGTGATTATTAGAAATTTGCGACAGTGCTCATAGCTGATGATGATGATAAAACCATTTTACAGGCAAAAAAAACTTTGTCCTCATACAACAGTAAAGATCCACGACGATGAAAGAAAATGCAAGGTCAAAAATTGATGGATAAGAACTTCACGCATGATTTGTCCAACACAAACGTATCTTCAATCCACGGACACACATCGCATATCCTCATATCCTACGCTTGATCCTTTACTTGAGAGTAGTAAAAGTGCTCCGATCGCAGAAAAGACCTCATACCCTATCTTGAGGGCGTTTCCCAAGAGCTGCGTATTCGGTGAATAGATCAACAATTGATGACCCGATTTGTGGATCAGGATATTTAGCTCAGTCAATTAAGACCAAAGTTTTGAAAGATGTAGATATATTCACTACCCAACCAGAATTTAGGGACCGAGAAGTAGAAGGGGAAACATTGATTCTATCTTCTATATAAGCCACGCACAAACCAGACACTACTCATTGGATAGGCAGTAGAGATCAGCTTTTACAGGCTAGAAGGGCTTCATCAAATCTCTACAGATCATGCAACAATAGAAGAAGTCCCACCAACTACTTCCAGAAGGCAGGGTCTCTCCGTCACTCGCAAAGAATTCTCGTTAAACTAAGCGAGATATTTGAACAAAGGACAACGATTGTCGTTTCTTGATGATCAATCTTTGTGAATGACAGTAGTTGAGAACGCAATCACAATGAATAACCGATTTTCGCAACCAGTGAAAAGATAAATACATTCGACAAAGATTGCAAAGCCGACAATTTTTCACAAGCCCTCAAAGATTCCGAGCAAAACTGCCGCGATGCGAGTGCGACCCCACAACTTGACGATAAGAAATGAAAATTTCAAAGCATCAATTTTGGAACAGTTTTTTCCGTGAGCTACTTCTAAATCGAAGTTTTAGAAATCAAAAATTCAATTATTTGTATTTCGTGATCTCCCAAAACGATCCCCGATATCTCCATTTTCCCTTTCCGGAACCCAAGACTCTTAGATGATTGTGAATATACAACACTGAACCAATTTTATTCTCCACAACATCATATTTGAATTGAATCACTGCTGAGTCATCTAATCCGAGCAGAGTTCGTCCCCCTTGGGACGTTCAATTGTGTTAATTCTCACTCTATATCCTCTGGATTCCTGAACTTACTCACCTGACTAGATATATCATAACCAAAACTTAGCTTCTTGTATGCCTGTCTATTAGAATTATCAAGTAACTGAAATCTCTATAACGTTACAGCCAAGTTGAAAATGTAAAAATAATGAATACAACCCGCAAATATACAAGACGCTCTGAGCATCTTATCCCAACATATAAAAACAAAGGATCGCATATGAAGGACATGCCTAGCGCCTTTACCCAGATTGACATTTTCCATTTGCGAGTTTCCCCCTTACGTTCTTCAAAGCTCTCAATCTTAATCTCATCTCCACCAACCTATCTTCATCACATCATACCCAACGTTCCACTCGCCACCCCCTAAAATTCACTCCCACCAACCGACGCATCCCGCTCAAACCCTCCTCATTTCCACCTCCGTACTTCCATATAAAATCCCCAACTATCAAACCCTAAGATAAATAGTCTCAAAAGAGAAACGTCGTGGATCCAGGTGGTAACGTCAAACGATATTTTACCTGCTGTCTCAAGTCTTAATACAATATCCCCAGAATGAACTAGATCCCCAGTTTTACGGAGATGAGAAAAAGTCAGTTTTTTTAATGTAATTCTCGAGAGTGAAGACTTTTAACGGCGATTAAAAATCTGATACTACCACACGCAGCAAGAGCGCATGGGAACAACCGAGTTATCCAGTAATTATCGACAACAAAACCCCATCCTCAGTCCCACAATCTCCCCCAACCCCCCATCGAACTCTCTTCACCATGAAATCATACCCGAACTCCCCCCCAAACAGCAAGCAAATACGCAACCCAACATCACTGTATGCCCTACATGCCCTAGACCATTCTTCTTCCACAATATTA